CGGTAACCAGGCCGGCTTCCTTTACTGCAGGGAGAACTTTCTGTCTTGGCGTGGTTTACAGGTCAGGAGGCGCTGCGTTTGTGTAAATTGAATCCTGTTTGGCATGTTTAATAACAGAGTGTTTTAATTTATGAGGGTTAATTAAAAGGTTATGAGACTGGGCCTATGAAAATTAACCAAATTGTACAGAGCTCCCAGTGCTTCTGCAATGCTTGTAGCACTCCCTGGAAGTCTTGGTATGTAGAAATGTCAAGCATCATGGATGATGATGATGAGCGCTGAATCTGCTAAACTGTGTCAAAATGTCGACTCCTCATTTTGGAGCAGAGAAAGTAGTCACAGGGAGCCAAATCAGAAGTAGAGTGGGTGGGAAACCACTATTGGGTTGCTTTGCCAAAAAAAAAAAAATCCATCCTGTCACAATTCAGGTTGATTGTTCTCCCTTCGTACGTTATGGTAGAACTCTAACTGCCAGTGCACAACTATGTGAATGCTGAAGAAAATGACGATTATATTCCTGGTATGCAGTTGACCTGCTGTGTCGTGTCTGCTTTTAGTGATGTGGGTTCTTTCACTGTGAGAACTATTGTTTCTTTTCCTGATGGTAACCACAGACCCACCTTTCATCACCAGTGAAAATCCTCAACATGGAAATTAGATGATCACCCACATCACAACCTACTAGTGGTCACAAAGTCCTGTTGATGACAGCACGGTGTCACGCATCATCTTGATTCATGACAGTTGCTGCTCACACATGCACTATGAACAGTCTCTGACTTTTTTTAAACAACCCTCATAAGTTCTCTACTTTTTTGTGCATCAAAAAATCCAAATCTGCATCCAGTGAAAGGGTTTTGTAAATTAAAGCTCTTGCATAGCTTAATATTCAAATTGCTGTTATGAATACATGCGTAAATTGAGTGTCTTAAAAGAGAAACATTTCCATTGTGCAGGAGATCGCCAGTCTGAAGAGACAGTTTGCTGAGCTGCTGTCTGACATTGGCTTCATCAAGGAGGGACTGAGGGCCAGGGTTATTGACCGAATGTCTTCCAAAGGCTCTGATGGTATTCTGGAGGCTACCGGTCCTGAGGTGATATAAGCATCACTCACTGACTCAGCGATTCAAATTTCGTCTTGAAGAAAATCATGTAATTTCTAAAAATGTGAAATTTTGCTTTATAGGCAAACCTGAACTCAGAAAACATCAAGCTGATGTCTGCCATGCTATGTGCTGCTCTCTATCCCAATGTGGTCCAGGTATGTATTTATCATCTCTGTCATGTAAATTAAAAGCAATGAGAAGTATAAAACAGTCTCATGCTTGTTATTCTGTGTTTACCTGTTCTTCCAGGTACGAGCTCCTCAGGGGAATTACAAGATGACCAGCAAAGGAGCAATGAAGATGCACCCCAAAGCCAACGAGCTCCGCTTCATGACCAAGAACGACGGCTGTGTCCACGTCCACCCCTCGTCCGTCAACTACACGGTGAGATTCATAAAAAGATGAGCTCTGAACGTAGCAGCTGGTACGAGAGACGAGCCCCGTGTCTTTTCTTTGTGCTTCAGGTTCGCCACTACAACAGCCCCTACCTGGTTTACCACGAGAAGGTGAAGACGAGCCGAGTTTTCATCAGGGACTGCAGCATGGTGTCTGTTTACCCACTGGTGCTGTTCGGAGGCGGTCAGATCAATAAGGATATTCACAAAGGAGAGTTCGTCATCTCCCTGGATGATGGATGGATCCGATTTGCTGCCTCGTCAAATCAGGTCAGAGGACCAAGAGATCACAGAAAGAGTCATTTATTTGGAATCACATGAAGGAAATATTCAGATTACTTAGCACATAATCTCTAATGTTCCTTTACAAAGACTTTTTTTTATCACCACAATATCAATTTAATGATAAATAAACATTGCCCAGAGCTCAGTGAGGCTGTAAAAGGTTTACAAGCTGTTTGTAAGGTTGTTAAATATGTTTTAAAGGTTCAGACTTTTATGGAGACTCATTTGGAGGAAGCACACACATAAAAAATCATAGTAATAAGCATAATAAAAATAAAATAGCGCTATACGTTCTCTGTATACTGTTAGGTAGTCTCTATTCATACTTTAAAAACTGAAAACGAGAAGAGAATCCCATTTACCTTAGTTTAAATATGATAAGTGTTTGATTTGTCAATCAGTAGGCTGTAAAACATGACAAAAAATATACACACATACACACAACCTATATTAACATGTAAACACTGCAAACATACAACTACACTTAACACTTAATCCAGCCAAGTGTGTATAGTGATAGTTTGGTTTCTTTGAATTGGACCCACAGTCGTTGATGACAGTCAGTAACTCCCAGTCCAACTACCACCACAGGAGCAGCAGCAAAACATGTTTTAGCCAGCTTCAGCTTAAATGTGTGCTTGTATTAGGATATTTAAACTGCTTTACCTTGCTGTCAGACAGCCCTCTCCAGCAAGGAACCAAAGCCTTTAATCACTCTCTTAGTTGCCACCAGATTCCATAAAAAAAAAAGTGTAATTTTACCTCATAGAAAACTAGAGTTGCTGGTCAACCGCTGTGGTACTTTGTTGTTTTTAATTTGTTGGTTTGAACCCAAACTAACGTTTTGATACGCTGAAGTAACACAAGTAACGCAAACAAACTAATCAAACGTGGCAGCATTAGATGAGCAACTCCCGTTTTCTACAAGGTAAAATCACTATTTTTTTCATAGGAGTCTGGTGTAATTGGAGAAGGCATAGAGTGATGTAGAAGTTCCCTGTTGGAAAGAGCTGTCTGATGCAAAGTGGTACAAATATCAAGAGTATAGTGAACACCTTAACTGATATTGATGTTTTTTTTTGTTTTTTTTAAAGCAATACACTTTGGATAAGTACCTCATACAACCCTACTTCAAACATTATTTATTCTGACAAAATACCACCCTTTAAAGATGAGCAATAAAAGAACACGCAACTAAAAATGTATAAAATGACTGTTTACGTGGTAACAAATGAACTTTGCTCTATAAACGTGCGTTTGTGTGTGTGAACCAGGTGGCTGAACTGGTGAGCGAGCTGCGCTTTGAGCTGGACCAGCTCCTGGAAGATAAAATCAGGAACCCGAGCGTGGACCTGTGCAGCTGCCCTCGCGGCTCCCGCATCATCCACATGATCGTCCACCTCGTCTCCACACAGTAGCGCTCTCTTCGTCATTCTCAAGGGCTTAAATGCATGGAGCTCTGCAGCGTAAACGTCTTTGTGCTGCTGCATCACTGCCACAGTTGTACTGACAGCTTACTCCACCGATTAAGAAAAATGACGCTGGTTGAAATTTGTATCGTATCAAACAAAAACAGCAGGGCCAGTATTGTACTTGAAGTGAGATCCTCAGCTTGAAGGACAATCATAAGCCGCCCTGCAGTCAGCTCACACTTTACCACAAGTATCAGTTTACACAGAGCTGTTCTTCTGTTGCTGCACAAAGCAAGTTTTGCCTTCAAAGAAAAAAAAAAAAAAAAGCTCTAAGCAGGTGATCAACAAATCTCCAGCATTGTTTTTGCTGGAGTGCTTGTTTCAAAAGTCTTATTTTGATATTTAAAAATGCAGCACTGGAAAAGGATCGTGTGTTTTGGTTACATTCTACCGCTGCATGTGCAGAAAACTGACACACGTGATTGTTAAATTTGATGTCACATATATTTGTATACAGTGCATTTTTATTTTGGGTTGTGCGTCTTGCTCACAACTGAGAAGTTTCTTGGGTCCATATTGGATGTCTTACACTATAGACTATTTATTTGTAATGCATGATTGAGAGATCCAAGAGCTTCTGCATGGTATTTAGTTGCTTTACATTTGCTGAATGTATCAAAATATTTCAGTGATGTCAAAACCACACTTTCACAATGTGAATGCAAGGGCTTTTTAAAAATGGGGCAGATTTGGTGCGAGTTGCCAAAGAATTTAAAAGCTTTTGTCTTAACACGCGACGATTTCCACCGCACAATAAATAAAAAGAAAGTGAAGATAGCTGGCTGTTGGCTTTGATTTAAGTCACTTCTTGTAAGCTGTGTTTGACGCCTGACTGTCTAAGATGTAGCAACAGACTTTACAGGATTGCAGGAGGAGCCAACCCCCTTTATTACAAGGGAGTCTGCTCTGTCTCTACGACAACCGGACACAAACAAATGGGGTATCATTGTCTCAGCTGAAGCCACTCGGTTGCCACCTACAACAGTGCCAAGTCCAGAACTGGTAAGATATATATATTTTTCAATTTCTGACAATTTCAAGTGTCAAGCAGTTTGGTTCTGACTGAGCTATTAATCATATTGTTCATGTGAGAAAACTGATCCAAAGTATGACAGAATTCTTCCATGTCTCCTGTTTAACAGATGGGTAAATAATCTCATATTGAAAGCGACGGTGACATCTTTCACTATGGTACAGTATAGATTACAGACCATAAGGACTATAAAAATGATTCATTATAGCCAGAGTGGAATGCCCAAACATAAATTAAGTGTATTGCTTTTATTTTTTTTCAAAGCCCACCAAGTCCAGGAAATCGAGGTCCCACAGTTCAAAACCTGCCAAGAAGACCGGGAGTCCAAAAACGCTCAAAAAGAGGTCCTCTAGTGCCAAATCCACCAAGACAGAGGTGGACATCCTCAGCCCGGCAGCTATGGAGAATGTCTACTACATTTCCCACAATGCAGCACAGTGTCTGGAGTTTAGAGGCTTTGGGTGGCCAAATTCAGAGAAGAAAAAGAAGAAGAGAACAAAGCGGAAGAAGAAAAAGTAGTTCATAAAATCTGCCAAAGTGAAGAGATTTTCTCTTATAAAGGTAGAAGGGATCAGATTTAAACATCTTCCTGTGATGCCATCTAGAGGACAAGTTTAGAATAACTGCATGAGTTTAACTCCAAGAACCAGTCCAAGACTACAAAACAAAACTGTGCCAGTAAAACTACTAAATTCATGACACACAAGACTTTAAAATTCATTATTTGCGAATTTATTGTAAGCTGAATGAGTCAGAGTTGTATTTGTAGTGATACGATACAAAGTTTGGCAGTTATTGACAAGCTGGAAGCTTGTGGCGGAAAATCTTTCAATTTTGTGGAATACAATGTAACAGCAAACTATTAATATTCACTTCAGAGAACACTACACACATCTAGTGTGGAGGAAATGAATGGCATGTGCAAGTTAAAACACCACAGTGCATCTTAGAAAAGGCCAGCCGCCAGTGCCATGAACCTGGACTTAAAGTGATCCCACCGGTTTGTTATAATATTCTTTAAATCCAGTCTTTGCACAATTTATCTTATAAAAAAAATAGGCTACAATGAGAACATGCCTATAAAACTAATGGAGGAAACAAATACTGTTCCAGGCACTGTTTATATTTTCATACATATTTTACATATTCAATTCTTTTACCAAATGTGCACACATTATATCATGACCCTGTCAAATAAATAGTTTCTCTGCAAAGCTAGTCTGGTCGTGCTTGGTCCCGCTTGGCTCACTCTGGGGGCTTCTTCTTGGCCTCCACGTCTTTCTTAAATGTTTCGAATTTCTTGGCTATGTTGGGAACCTAGAAAGGAAAAACAACATTACAGATAACACAGTCTAAGAAATGTTAACGGTTTGTGTTTTATTAGATATACCCAGCTAAAGTCAGCGTAGTCCAGCTCAACTGCCCTGCAGTAAACACTTTCAACAACAAGGTTTCATATTACAATGTTTAGTCAGCTTTGAATTGGATTGTATTGGTGTCTAATATTCAGCACCTTTTTTAAACACAATTTGAACGTTACGACTCCTACGTTCAGGATTTAAATTAAAGGTGTTATACGATAGGCTATTACAAGACAAGAGTATTTATTAAATGTCCTATTTTGTGCCTCTTTTTCAGCAAATGAATGAAAGTCTCACATGTCACCAGAATGTCTTTGAATTTTTTGGGCTCAAAATACTGCAAAGATGGTCCTGTTCTAAACAGGCTGTTTCAGGGTCTGTAGCTTTGAATTCTGCTGTAAATGAGAACAACTTTCCCATAATAAAATGCAGTATTTGTGACCACAGAGTGCAGGAGAGAAGTAAACAGAACGAAACACTGCCTGAGTTCAGATTTCACTGAAGTACAATGGTCAACATGAAAACACAGTGACCCTTTCTTAATTGGTTTCAAATCGGTCTTACAGTTTCTAAAAAATTCAGAATGTCTCTCAGCTTTACAGTGTCCACTGAGCTCTGACCAGTGAGCATACAATGAAAGGTAATGAAACAACCACAACAAAACAAACAAAAGGAACCTCAAAAGCGACACTAAAATAGGCAAGTGGAGAAACTTCCAGCAACATCTGTCCAGACAATGTCGTTTTGACAGCTGTGACAGACACGTGACTTCACGAATTGGTTGAAAAAATACGTTTACAAATAAAGACAAAACTCGGACGAACTCACCTCGTAGTTTTGAGCGAGGTACATCCCCACAACATTCCCCAAGGTGAATCCAGCCTGAAAGAAAAACAAAAATGACCTCATTAAAGGCTGAGCTAACATGGATGTTTTTATTGCGTGTTAGGGCTTCATGGTGGCTGAACTTACTAGATTAAAAAAGTTTTATTGGCTAACCACAACAGTAGGCTAACACTAGCTATCTACTGACAGTTATCATTATGCTAATACGTTAGCTTCACTGGCATCTGTCAGTATCCGTACAAACGTCGATGTCACGCATGATAATGTTAGTTTAACTCACCAGAAACTGTAGCATTGTGGTATAAAGAAGTAATTAAAGCTATGCGAACCGCAAAGCAACTTAAAAAAACAGGCAGTTAGTTCAAAGTTAGAGAGAAATCAGCCGAGTTATTCGGCTAATGAAGTAGCTGTCACCAACAAATGGCATACGCATGCGCGAGAAAACTAAGCATCGCGTTATTTCCGGCTAACATGTACTGTAGTCTTTTCCATACCTGGAGCTGTTGACGGTCTCTAATGGAGAACTACATCTACCAGCACCGCCCAAGACCTCTCGGCCGTACCGCGGGTGTTGTTGCAATGGTGGTGGTGTCGGAGGGACATTGAATGACTTTGGCTCCATCACGAAAATTACCAGTTTAATTCATAAACCTCAAACATGGAGGCGCTTATTCCCGTCATAAACAAGCTCCAGGATGTGTTCAACACAGTGGGGGCGGATATTATCCAGCTGCCGCAGATTGCAGTGGTGGGGACTCAGGTAAAATGCTCTGATTGTGTGCATTTTGTGATACAACTTAGCTGCTGTCATGCTAGCTGGATAACCTTGCTTTAATAATACACATGTATGAATGAGGAGTGAAACTGAAAGGAGTTACCCAGCGGATATTGCCATTATTTCACATGTCAGAATGAAATGAAGCTTCAGAGGCCGTGTAGCTCTGCTAAAACCACACTACACGGTTTGACTGCTGCAGCTCTCATCTGCAAAGTCTGCACTGGCAGGAGCAGTGAAATCTATTTTAATCCCCTTCAATTAGTTCCATTTAAAGAGCTTCATCCACACACCAGCCTATGTTAGCTGAAACCAGGTCAGTGCTTGAAGAATTGAGGTGCAGTTACTTCATCATTGTTGCATATCAGCTGGTGTGTGCAACCACAGAGCTGATACCACTTGTTTACTCTTTATGTGCTCTTTGTGTCTCCAGAGTAGTGGAAAGAGCTCTGTGCTGGAGAGCCTGGTGGGCAGGGACCTGCTGCCTCGTGGGACCGGCATCGTAACCAGGCGACCCCTCATCCTGCAGCTGGTCCACGTAGACCCTGGAGACGCCAGGAAAATTGATGACGGCGGTAGGTGCCAACATCCACCTGATCTCAGGAGTGTTTCTGAACACTATTAAGGTGCCACTGATATGGGTTCTGCCTTTTATCCTTTCCCTGGAATGTTATTAGGCAACACAGCTCTCATATTTACACATAAAATACAGCTCTGCAATGACTGATCATTTAGTTGTCACCTATTAAAAGTCCCACATGTGCTTCTTTTCTGCAAATTAATGAAAGTCTCCTAAGTTTCCAGAGTGTGTCTTCAGCTAACAGTACTGCAGAGATGGTTCATTTTACTATGACTGGACTGGTTTTAGTCCTGTTTGTCCTTACTGTAGCTGTCCACGCCCCCTTCAGGAAGAAGACTCTCTCTTCATCTGTGACTCACAGCACAGCAGCTGACAGACATGAAAGAGTGTTTGGGACTAAGCTTTTCTATAACCTCTAACCTTCTTCTCTATGTGATAATTTGACATCAAATGTCACTGAATCCACAGCACAGCCGCTGTTTTTCTGAATAGTGAGTTTGTCAGACAATCTTGCGGCTATAAAATTAGCATTCCAGCAGTGCAGAGCAATGAAAATGAGTCAAGTGCCTGGTGGTTAACATGTAGTCTTAATGGACTACGTTTCAGTCAGTATTTGTTGTCTGACAGCAGAAACAGAAAAGTATGTAGATGAGAACAGCCCTAATGGGAGTTCAGCTTTTTTAAAATGCAGAACATGTGGGCACAGAGAGCAGAAGGGAAGCAAACAGATGTAAACACCAGCTGAGTTCAGGTTTCACTGAAGCATTACAGGTGACATGAGAACACAGTAACCCACAAGGTCTTTGTTTATTGGTCTCAAATTGATCTTGAAGTTTCCACCATCTCTAAATGTCCCTCAGTATTCAAATTTCTGCAGCACTCTGACCTGGTTGGTCACATGTTGGCCACATTAGCCTAGCAGCCAACCAACCTATTAACAATAAAGATGCTCCTATTGTTGTGGTGACATCCCCTCAATAATATAAGTCATCCACGACATCTTCAGTTCTTCAGATGCTGGGAGTGCATGAAGACTCTTGTGTTCACTCTTGCAGCCAACAGCCAATCACTTTGCTCTTTGCTGAAACGTTTGAACAGAAGCAGCTCTAGAAAGCAAATGAACCTGATGGACTAAGAAGCAGCTGCTCATTCTGAATGGGTCATGTTTAAGCAGCAAGCAGTGAAGGAGGATTTTACAAAAAGTTTGAATACAAGACCACTAATTCCTCAGTTGGTACGTAGTATTTTAGTAAAATTAATACTGCCTTGAAGCTTGAAGTAAATGTCTTCATACCTTAACAGCTTTTACTTGACACCTCCAAGATTATAATGACCACAAAACATAGTAATGGAGGATTTTCACCATATGGGACCTTTAAATTAAGCGTTAAGTATTTTGATAATTGCTCAATCGGTTTGAGTAACTTTTTAAAAATTGTAGCTTCTTAAATTTGAGTATTCTCTGGTTTCTTTACTCCTCCATTACAGTGAACTGAATATTTATGTGTTGTGGATAAAACAAGAAACTGGAGGAAGTCATCTGAAGCTTTGGGAAACATTTAGTGACAATTTTCATCTTTTTTCTGACATTTTTAGACCAAACAACTAATTTAAAAACTATGATTCTAATAGTTATTTGCAGCCCTACTATTGAAAACCTGAGTTATGACACAGGGACCTATATTGAGGGAATACATCCGTCATTTCTGGTGTGTAATATAAAAACAGTCTTCATATAATTTCCCGACAAGCACCAGTTTTAAAGCTCTGTCTGTCACTGTCTTTGCAGATGCCCTGCTGTGATAAAACTGTGCTTCACAAAGGTGCACTGTACACGTGTCTTTCATTTCATAACCTGCTTTAGCTTCTTCTAGCCGCCTGCTCCTCCTCCTCCTCCTCACCTGTGATTCCAGCTGCTTTAATTCAGCACACCAGTAGCTGTCAGCTGTCAGGCATCGATCCTCATGTTAGCCGTGCTTGTTTAGCCTCCTGAGCAGTTTCTCTTAAGACGTAATAATGAACTCTGTGTTTTGAGGATGCTGAGTTGTAACTGTGTTTTTATTATTATTATTATTATGGTTCGCAGGTAGAGAAGGTGAAGAGTGGGGAAAGTTTCTACACACGAAGAACAAGGTATGAATCTGTACGATGCTGAAACATTTAATTGATTCTCTTCACCGGCGCTTGTTGTGATGCTTTTGCTGCTTTTTTTCTTTTTGCAGATCTACACAGATTTTGATGAAATCAGGCAAGAAATTGAAAATGAAACGGAGCGAGTATCGGGGAATAATAAGGTGAGAAAGAGGTGGAGGATGGAGGAGGTGTGCTTGTGTGTTTTCTCAAGCCAGTTACCTTTAATTTTGTTAGCTGTCTTAAGGATATTATGAAGAATGTGTGGGATAGATGGTTGGATTTGGTTTGATGAAACAGGGCTAGAAGAAATCTGAAGTGATGATAAGATCTAGAACAACACAAACACATTCAAAGCGACATATATATATATATATATATCGAAAAACAGTGCGTGGAAATGTGTTTCTGCAAATTCTCGGCCAGCAGCAGGCGAACCGAGGATTAGCTGTTAACACGTAGAGAATTAAAATAATCCAGATGCAATAAGATGAAGGCAAACACAACTTTTCCCTCCAATTCTGAGGAAGCGAGTCAGGGCTCAGATGTTGCCCTGAGCTGAGGAAAGTGGATTTCACAGCAGAGCTTATGCGTTTAGCAAATTGGAGGCCACGGTGGAAAATCACAACATTTTGTGGCGTGTAGTTTAAGGTCACTGCATCCGGAGGGGTTTGGAGATGCTTCTGGAACGCTGACTAGAGGGCAGACGAGGAAACTTGCTCCTTTTTACCTTTTTACCAAACTTTGGGTTATTGACATGACACGAGGATCAACCTCTGTTACCTCGTTTCTCAGGTTGTACATTCCTCTCCTCGTATCCTGAGATGTTAGTGAAGTAGGAAAGGAAGCGACATGAGTACAGAGGTGTTGAGGCAACAAGGATTTAACAAAATGAGACTTTCTGGTTCTTTCATTGAGAAATGAAACTACATTCAAGATGGTCACAGGCAGCAGGACGGAGGAGGCTCAGAGGAGAGAAATGAGAAGAGCTCTTATTAGCTTGTTGAGAGTTTAGAGCTGCTGCATAACAAAGACGCTGATGCTGAATCAATATTTTAACCAGCAATGTTTCTTTATAACTTCAATTCATTTGCACAAATGTTTCAGTGCAGTATCACGACATCATTTTTGCGTCATGATGTCGGTAGTTTTTGGTTGCAGTCATTCTTCAGACGCAGTAAACGCTATAATTTAAAACAATACTGGCAGCAGCAAAACTTTGTTTAGGGTTAAAGTTTCCAAAGATCCGAGGCTTAAAAAGTAAGTGATCACAGACCTCATAGATGGTTTGTACAACACTTTGCTTCTCTCCTGCTCTCTGTGCTCACACATGCTGGATTATAACACAGCCAAATTCACAACAAAGCTGTTTTCATTTTCTGTTTCTGTTGTCGAGTGTAAATCAGTGACTGAAGCAGCCGTTCATTAAGACGACATGTTAACCAGCAGTCACTTTCAACCTTTATTTTTTTTTTTGTTTAACTCTACAGTTTTGCACTTAAATATGGAAAACGTTCTTTACATTTTGTACTGTGCTGCTTTATACACTGGCTTAGAAATTGCAAAAATAAGATGAGCTTAATTGAAATGGAGTCATTTAGTCATTTAGATTTCTTGACTAATCTGATTAACCGAAAAGTCATTTACAAACACGTACGGATGCTCTGAAGGTATTTCCAGGAGCCTAAATGTCTGTTCGAAAACAAAAATCCATCTTGCACAGTAAAAAAAAAAAAAGAATTTTTAACCCGCTTTGTTTCCGAATACAAACAAAAATGGCTGCCAGTGGCTACCTGAACAGTCACAATAAACACAAATCTAGTTTCATTATCCACCGCACAGACGAGCAGCAGGAGAAAACAAACAACCGGAGAACAGTTGTCTGTATTTTCTACATGTTGTGTAAAGCAGCGCTCAGCTGCTAAATCCACAGTAGACGTTGATTCTCTCCTCGTCCCTCTGCAGGGGATCAGCGATGAACCCATTCATCTGAAGATATTTTCTCCTCATGTTGTCAACCTCACGCTGGTGGATCTGCCAGGAATCACTAAGGTAACACATGCTCTACTTCCAGCTCCCCCAAAACATCGCTTTGATCATCAGACACCCTTGAGGGAGGGAAATTTATTTCTTAAAACTTACTCATTAAAAAAAAAAAAGCACTTAAAAACTAAGATTTACCAGATATGCCCGGTCAGCGGTGTTAATTTCCCAGTCTGGCCGATGCTTCTGAGTATTTCATATTTGTAGACGACGGGGAATTAATGTCTTGTCTTGATGTTTCCACACCGTGTGCTGTCAAAGCCCAAGTGAGCGCCGGCTTTGATTCCAGCCTCATTAGTTCGTCCCCTCTGGTTGAACATGTGTTAATTTGAGAAATCCCTCCGCTTTCGTGTCTAATGAATAAAACTGTGTCTTCTCCTTTTAATTGGTATTGTTCCCTTCAGGTGCCCGTGGGTGATCAGCCTAAGGACATCGAGGTGCAGATAAGAGATCTAATCCTGAAGCACATCTCCAATCCCAACTGCATTATCCTGGCTGTCACGGCCGCTAACACAGACATGGCGACCTCGGAGGCCCTGAAGGTGGCCCGCGAGGTCGACCCCGACGGTACGAAAAGCTGCTTCCAAACCCATTGCGATAATCAGGTTTTCTTTAATGCGATTCAACCTTTATCGGCAGACGTTAGTGGGCTGTTAGTGACCTTTTTGTGAATGAATCCGTCAGGCCGGAGGACGCTGGCCGTGGTGACCAAGCTGGACCTGATGGACGCCGGTACCGACGCCATGGATGTTCTGATGGGCCGAGTCATCCCCGTCAAACTGGGCCTCATCGGAGTCGTCAACAGGTCTCACAAACGATACTGAATCCGCTCCTCCTCCTCCTCCTAATGGAGCGTTTAACATTAGAGACAAGTGGCTCTAATGTGGACGAGATGAGCATCAATGTTTAATGCGGCATACATCAGTGTTTATTGCTTTTATTCTTCATCACTGGAATCACATTGAAGGATGAGATTTAATAAAAACCTTGCAGCTGTAATCGTGCAGTTTGCTTGTGTGCACATCACTCACCATTATTTTGCGTTTTAGGAGCCAGTTGGACATCAACAACAAGAAGTCTGTGGCCGATGCGATCCGCGACGAACACGGTTTCCTGCAGAAGAAATACCCGTCTCTCGCCAACAGAAACGGAACCAAATACCTGGCCAGAACCCTGAACAGGTAAACAGCCAGTTCTAGACTGACATTAAGTTTTTTCTTTTGCTCCTGTTGCATTTTTACTCACTGTGGCCTCATTTGTCACTGCAATATAAAGTCCTGCACCTCTATGGAAACAGCACAACCATGACTAGAAGTAGAGAGACCTCAAAAATGTCTAATGTGCACTAAAACACATTTAGAATGCTGTGAATGCAAAGCAGAAACAGATAAAAGCTGAATTTCCAGTGTTAATACAACCCACAGGTGTTGGTAATACTGGAAAAAAAGTGGCTTCACATCCTGCAGGTGTTTTACTTCTTCCATATTTACTTTGTTTCCACATCTGCTTTGTATAAACACTGCCTGCAGTTCAGCTGAATCCTATCAGAGTTTTTGTCACGTCCGTTGCTTGCAGCTGAGCCACTTTTCAGTTGCACTAAGGAGAGCAGAATTTTTAGTTTTAGTTTAGTTAGAGAAAAGGTTTTTGGGGTTTTTTTGTGGCAAATTTTTAAATGAGACGCACACAATTTTGATGAACTATGTTAGTTTTAAGGTCAGATTTGGTTCTGACTGGACTGAAGGGGACACGTGATGAGTTCAAGGACTGTAGTAAAGTTGAAAATCTCACAACTCTTCCTGTTTTTAGATTCTGGTAGGTGCATGCTGTTGGATTTTGTGATTCAAAAGATTAAAAGACAGAAACTTAACATGTTAAAAAATGCGTTTTCACCACGTCTACAAACTGTTTCTGTTTGAATCTCTTCAGCTCCTTTCTGACATGTGCTCCTTCTCGTTAATCTGACAACTTAATTTTTGAGCTTTATGTGTGAATGGGTGCTGTGGTCAGTTTTGCAAAGGCTGAACAAGTAACGTACAGTAGTTTTCTCCACATTTTAAGGTATCGCATTGGGAAAGTTTAGCAGAAACAGCACATTTAAAATAACTTCACAGTTATCTGAGCTTGTAGTTTTTGACTTTTTTGAAAGGGTTATTGGATATAATGGGAGATCAAAATGCCCTTTTTCAAATAAGCTCTGAAAGTGAACGTTTCACTCACATGACTAATCAGCTCCTCGGCTCATTATCAACTGTTTTTGTTGTCTTCGCCTCCGGACAGCATGAAGCACGGTCAGTGACAGAAAAAAGAATGAATGCAACTATTCCTGAAGATGTTTTTCCTCTATTTTTCTCTCGTAGATAACCAAAGTTGTTTGTTTCTTGTTCTTTGAGAAGCCTCATTTATTTGCTCCAAAGCAGTTGATGGAAACAAGCCTAATTCACGTTTTTCCATTTCTTTGTTTCTTTGTTTTTTGGTAACATTTCAAGAGTTCTCTTCAAATTTGCTTCACAATTATATGGAAATACGACACAAGTCTGAACGTCGTGCCGTCACATGAACAGGTATCGATGGGTGACGTGGTTTGTCAGTTACCTTAATGAGATCGTGTTCTATGTGTAGTTATGGGAACACGTCCATGTGCACAAACATTAGGCTGAAACCGAATAATCTGAAAAAATCACAATGAAAAATAATTAATGACAGAAAAAATATTTAGTAGACATCAAAATTTGACAGTAAAATAAAAATACTCCGACAGCTTTTATGGCGCTCAGGACTCGATGTGAGGACGGCCGCTGCCTAACTAATAATTTTACTGCAGCTTGTAAACTGTGACTCTGTTGACAAAGCACACAGAGATATTTGATCCTGACCAACTCCGTCCATTATGTTGATAAGTGTTGTGTTAGCTTAGGTGTTGTAGCTCCTTGAACGTTGATGTGCTGTTGAATCTCCTGCATACGACAAACATATTGTGCGTAACATGGTTCTCGACATCACTGGGGGTGTCTGCATTGTGGGTATGAATGAGTGAAGCCTTAAGGAAAATTTATGTAAAAGATAAAATACGTCTGAATGACAGAATGCCGTCATTTTAACAGATTGAAGCAGAAATGTTCAATCTGGAAAGAAAACATTGAAACCAGATCAGGATTTTTGATGGTAAACACTGAGGAGTAGAAACCAGAGTTAGAACTGTCATCAAAAATTAGTTTTTGTCATTTTCAGACGTAAAATAGGAGTTAATTAACTGAATGGTTCTGCAGCTCACTGGTGTGCTGAATGCTTTCAGTACGTAGTGTTCCCTTTGTGCACCTCTGATGTTATATCTAAAAAATTGCCAAAATTACACATTTTGTCACAGCTGTAAAGTATAAAAACAGAAAAAAATGTCAGATTTTCAACTTTTCAGCAGTCTTTGAACTATACATCTGTGATGTGACGTTCCATTGAAAATATTAGTCTCAGTTTAGAATTTATTTTACGTCTCATTGAAAAATTGGCCAAAAATAAATAGTTTATTTCTGTTAATCACAAAAAATTTTGTGCTCCTCAAAACACCCATGAAGCCATGAGTGACTCTGCTGTGACCAACAGTCATGTGACAAAACAATTCAGACTTTTTAGCTGTTGTAAATGTTAATTTCCAGTTTTTTTCAATTTTTGTAAGTAAAATGATCAAAGTGTTATCAAAGATGTTCAACCTGCCCTTTTTCTTTCTTATGGTTTATGACATTAAAACTGTATCATGCTGCACAGAAGACCCCTTTGAGTTCTCTCTACTGCTAGTCGTGGTTGTGCTGCTTCTATAGAGGTGCAGGACTCTATATTGCAGTGAAAAATGAGTCCACAGTGAGTAAAAATGAGCAAAAAAAAGGTCTAAAAATGCTTGAGGTTTATGTATTTTAGTGCAGCGAATGTACAAAGACGCACCACAGACACAAACACATTGATGTTACCAGCACACATGACATTATGTCACCGTCGGCCTGCTGAATGTCAGAAGCAGCTCTGACATTAATAGCAGCCATCAGAGGATCTTGCTATTGTGTGTCATTTTTAAAACATCCCACTCTGCCCTTTGCTGCTATAATGTCAGGCTACTGATGCATCACATCCGAGACTGTCTCCCCGAGCTCAAGACACGGATCAACGTCCTGGCAGCTCAGTACCAGTCCCTGCTCAGCAGCTACGGCGAGCCCGTGGAGGACCAAAGTGCCACCCTGCTCCAGCTCATCACCAAGTTCGCCACAGAATACTGCAACACCATCGAGGGCACGGCCAAGTACATCGAGACGGCAGAACTGTGAGTAGCAGCTCGGCCACATGGTGATGCTGTTGATCCAGCGCAGCCGCAATGAGCAAAACAACTGCATTGGTTTCATCATTTAATATGATACAACTTGTAAGTTGAGGCACGCACAGCCTTGGTGAAGGAAGAGCTGACAGGAGCGGAGGCCACGGGGTTCACATCACAGCTAATATCCCCCTGCTGCTATTTTTCAGGTGCGGTGGAGCCAGAATTTGCTACATATTCCACGAGACTTTTGGCAGAACATTGGAGTCTGTGGATCCTCTGGGAGGACTCAGCACCATAGATATCCTAACAGCCATAAGGAACGCAACCGTGAGTGCAGCTGCATTCTCTTATTAATGTGACATCGTTAGTGTCACTGCAGCTTCTCCTGACACCTGAACCCTCCCCAAACCCCAAACAGCTTCTGGACCATTTTCTGTCACATTTCTTTTTTTTTTTTACAGCAGTATAAAATCCTGCATGTTTAAAGGAAGGAGCAGCACAACCATGATTTGAAGCAGAGAGAACTTAAAGATGTATTCTGTCTAGTATAATGTATTGATAATGTCAGAAATCCTATAAAAAAAAAAAGAAGAAAAAAGTTGAATGTTTTTTTTTAATTTGAAAAAAAAAATTAAAAACCTGGAATCAACTTGTACACATTTTTTTCTAAGTGTCCACAGTTGTTATCAGCACTGTAAATATGTCACTACTTACATTTTAAGTTTATTTCCATATTCATATCTGTGTTTAAGCTGCAGTTAAGCTAAAAAGTCTGAATTTTTGTCATGCGACTGTTGGTCACAGTTGAGTCATGAATAGCTTCACAGTTGCAACGGGAAACACAAAATTATTTAGTTTTTACAGAATCGAGTTACTGCAAACTGTTTATTTTGGCAATTTTCTAAATAAAACATGTAGAATTAAGTGATTTTTACTGAAATATTACAATTTTAGGCTTAGATTTGTGACAGTTTTCCAACTGAACTGCATGATTAGCTCCAGGAAAATCTAATTCTGGCTGTTTTTGCAGTTTCTGACTGAGAAATGATTGCTTTTTTTTTTTTTTTTTTAAATAACATGCCTCTTAAACTCTGGCCAGTTTGGGGTTTAGAGGGTGAACTCCATCTATAGTAAACCAATAAACCCACGACTTTCTCTGTCACTTGCAGCTTATTCCAAGTCCTTTGTTGTCATCGTCCATGTTTCCCTTTGTCACTGCTAACCTGTAGCTCCTTCCTCTTCCTGTTTTAGGGCCCTCGTCCGTCCCTTTTCGTGCCTGAGGTTTCCTTCGAGCTGCTGGTGAAGAAGCAGGTGAAACGCCTGGAGGAGCCCAGTTTGCGCTGCGTGGAGCTGGTCCATGAGGAGATGCAGAGGATCATCCAGCACTGCAGCAACTACAGCACACAGGTAGCCGACGCGCCACATGGATTCTTCTTTCCCTACCGTGCATGCGTTTACATTTATGTCGCTTTGTCTTGCAGGAGCTGCAGAGATTCCCGAAGCTACACGAGGCCATCGTAGAAGTGGTCACGTCCCTCCTGAGGAAGAGGCTGCCCATCACCAACGAGATGGTAGTGACGCGTTCACTTCTCTTTCCATGTGTGCTGTTGTCTTTGAGGTAGTCTGACTAACCAGGTGTAGATTTGGAGGTCAAAACAATTCCTCCATCACTATTTTGCTGGGGCACCATCTCTACATCCTGGGCTCAGCACCGCCCGAGACCACTGTGACTGTTTTAAAGAGATACAAACATGCCAGATCATTTTCTAGAGAATGCTCTGACTTTGTGACTATGTTTCAGTGACAATTTGAATCTGTTTCCATCTCTGACGCTGTCTTCTATTCTTGTCACAGGTCCATAACCTGGTTGCTATTGAGCTGGCCTACATCAACACTAAGCATCCAGACTTTGCAGACGCCTGTGGAGTCATGAATAATAACATCGAGGTCTGTAATCACAGCAAAACACTGAGAATAATAAAAAGAGGCACAAACCTGATTGTTTGTTTATGTATATTACAATATACACCGATCTGCCACAGCATTAGAACCACTAACTGGTGAATGAATAAAACTCATTATCTTTCTGTCTTATCTTTGTAGAAAACATCAAGTTTTAAAATAGGTTCTATGAATACTGGTTTACCATTCACACATTTAGGTAGAAAATATAAGAGTCTAATATTTAAACAAAACTGTGTTCAAGTTGCCGAAATTCAGTCATTTTTAAAATCAAAACTGTATCAATAAAATTCAGGCACCAAAAGTCACAGCTAAAATTTAAAACTTGAATATTCCGGTTATTTAATTCTTTCTCTTGTATTTGAGGCTGATTACACACTTGAATCATGACCTGATGATCTTTTAAACTAGATTTTTTCATCTTTTGTTTGCGTGTCAGAAGTTCACCACTCCAGTCTGAGCAGCCTTTTCTTTAACCTTCTGATAATCCAGTCAGCAGGTTGTCTTTCAAAAAAAAAACAAAAAAAAAACCTGCCAAAACTGCACCATTTATCAGAGCCAGAAACGGTGGTCCTTGAACTCCTCATCTATGACGGGCCATTTCATTGGAAAACTAAACAAATCTAAGTTTAAAATCATGATATTTCCTCAAAATGACTTCATTCCATGTCCATTTTTTTTTAAATGGCAAAAATAAATCCTTTGGTATGACCACATTCTGTAAAAAACTAAAAAACTGAAACCATAAAACAGCGACCAAGAGTCATGTACGACAATTCAGGGACTTTTCGGCTGAACTGCAGCCACAGAGCAGGTAGGAGACGAAAATAGAATTAGAAATGTGAATTGTAAAATGTCTTTAGTATGCAGATTTTTATCCAGTATTTGTTACCTGTAGGCACTTGGAAAAATGTTGTACATGTTCATTCCAGGTTTTTTCATTTTTGTAAAATAGATAATCAAAGAAAATCAAGTTTTGTTGTTTCTTTTTTATAACGATTTTTGACATGATAACTTTATAATACTGCACAGAAGACATTTGAGAGTTTTCTGTCATGGTTGTGTTGTTTCCATAGAGGTGCAGGACTTTACTTTGTAGTGAAACATGAACCCACAGTGTTACAAAATGTGACGGGAGCAAAACAAAACAAAAAAAAAGGCCAAGAAGAGCTTAAAGTTCAGTGGGTTTAACTTACATGCAGCGTTTCTAGTATTGTACATTTTATGTGAGTTACTATGAATTTGTAATTAATGAAGGGAATAATTAGCTTGTCATTCAAGTCTATTAAAGACTGTTAATGTGACTTTTATAGTGTATATTATGATTAATAATTCTATGTAGTGAAATGTGTGTTTAATCAGTACAAAGGTTGGTTTTCTTTGAAAGGTGGATTTTCCTGGTAATTGTCTGACACGTGTGGGTGTTTGTCAGACGTCAAGATTCAAGCAAAGTGCAACGTGACTGTTCTCAAGACTGTGCTCTAACAATAAGATATAAAAAAAAACAGTAGAAAATTAGAAAAAAAGTTTCAATGTAATAAATAATAATCCGTGTGGTTTGTGTGTTTGCAGGAGCAGAGGAGAAACCGGATGAGAGAGCTGCCCGCTGCAGTGCCCAGAGATAAGGTAAACCAGATAAACGTCTTTTAAAATGTAATAAACAGCAGCTCGTGTTCTAATATCTGCTTGCACTATAAGGAGGTCTTGTGTAACGTTAATCACTCATAGCGCCGCAGGATGAGGATCTGTGAACCGAATGCTTCGGATAGTTTCCATCCAGGAATTTTATCCCACATCTCCTCTCTCAGAAAGTCCTCCTCTCTTTTCCCCCCTTTGACTTGCGACTGCCAGCCTCCTTTTTCTTCTGTCTTTTTCACATTTCTTCTCTCCCCCATGCCTGCTCTCATATTCCTGCTAGTCTGCTGGCAAAGGCCCGGCCGGCCCAACTGTGGTTTCTGGCGAGCCCCCTGCGTCTGGAGCAGACATGGACAGTGCCAAGGTGGGCACATAGGCAGCTCTGAGCCTGGCTGGCTGTGGGGGCTGCTGGTGGGGGATGGATGGATGGATGGATGGATGGATGGATGGATGGATGAGCATGGGGCTGCTGGCATGCACTCTGGTCTTCCTGTGCTGATGCAGTGCTCTTGTTTTGCTCTCCCTCAGCCTGTGTGGACTCGCACTAACAACTGTTGTGTTTTCCTCAGTCTGTTTTACCCAAAGTTTGTCTCTCAGAGCAACCTCTCCTCTCCTTCTCGCTCCTGTTCCAGCCTCTTAACACTCTGGACGCTTTTGACTTTTGCGCTCAGATTCTAGGACTTGTGAGATCTGACCTCTGTGCATCATCTAGAAACTCTTATTTTTTTAAGCCACACTAGCAGCGTGGCTACTGACTTTGGCGATCCCTTGATTTTCCCTTTTTATTTTTTAGTAAATTTATTGCCTGTTCGCTGCTGTTAGCTGAATTGTAGCAACTCTAAAATCGCCCAGCTGATTATCGTGCATCAGCCTCATGTGTACTTTCTATTTAATGCTAATTAGCAAATGTTTGCATGCTCAGGCAAGACAGTAAACATTAAAATGTCATTATGCATACTGTAAGTTAGCATGCAGATGTGAGCATTTAGCTCTAAGCAGACTTAAATACATCCTTGCAGAGCTGCGATCGTGGCCGCAGACTCGAGTCATGTTTTCTCTTTAACTGGAGCACAGAGACATTAAATTATGCACATGGCTGCACCTCAGGTTTCTAGAATCTCTTTTTATGGTCGTGCCTGTTCGACTTGTGTTTGCAAATGCACATGAATCAGTCAACGTTTTTATGCCACATGCCCTAACCGTCCTCTCCCCGCTGAACCCTGATGCTGAGCAGCCGTTCACACACGTTAGCGGCCTGGTTGTTTTTCTGTCTTCAGGCTCCAGCAGCAGGGCCGCAGGCTGAGCAGGACGGCACCGGGAGCTGGAGGGGGATGCTGAAGAAAGGCGAGGACGCCCCAGGCTCTGGACCCGGGAGCCCCCTTAAAGGAGCTGTCAACCTGCTTGATGTGGTAACTGAACCTGCCGGCTCACCCCGTTAATGAGGTTACAGTAGTTCTTGAGTTAACGACTGATTAAAGCGTCGCCCTCTTGTTTCCCCCTCCAGCCTGTTCCCGTTGCCAGGAAGCTGTCATCACGTGAGCAGCGGGACTGCGAGGTCATCGAACGCCTCATCAAGTCCTACTTCCTCATCGTCCGCAAGAACATCCAGGACAGGTAGGCTCATCTTTCTCCTCTGGAAGGTTTGGGGGTTTATTTTTAATTGTCAAAAAGTCCATTAACACTATAAAGATGGTTTTAAAATGCATTTATTCTTTTCAAAAAATCATCAAAATTAAAGCATTTATCGGAGCCAGAAACTGAGAACAAGAAGAATTGTTGAGGTTTTCATCTTTCTAACGGTCCTTAAACTACTCATCGGTCATCTAAGCTAAGCTTTAAATTGTAATATTTCATCAACATTGCTTTTTTTTTTTTTTTAAACCATTTGCACTAAAAAGATTTTTGGAATTATTTTTAAAAAGTATGTGCTCCTCTTTATACCTTTGAAGTCATTCATGATTGAAGTCTAAATAGTCAAATATCTGTCGTATATAGAGTCACTGTTTTTTCGGTGACACCTGTGAGAACTTTAGAAAGTGTTGTACGTGTTAATTCAACGGCTTTGCAAAACAAATGATAAAAGAAATTAAACTTTTTCTGATTTTCTGAGCATTTTAATTGTGCTAAACTGCACAGAATACATTATTGAGCTCTCTTGACTTCCAGCCATGGTTGTGCGAGAGGTGCAAGACTTCATATTGCAGTAAAAAATTAGACAGAGACAAAAAAGACCAAAAAAAAGTAGTATTTGCAGTATATTACATTTTCTAACCTGGTTGTTTCATGCTGACATGATAGCAACACTGTGCACCTCCCGTTATTCATATGAATTCTGCTAGTAGAACTCTATCAACTGGTGATCAGAGTAAATGGGGGAATATAACACAGACAAGCTCGTCTACTGTTTTGCTATTGAGCTGTAAAGTTTCTGTTTGCAAAGTTGACATGTTAACCATCTATTTGGACAAAATGCAGACACACTAATGACCCCTTCAACACTGTGTCAGTTAGTTTGTAGCCAACTCTGAGTAAATATTCAGTAAATGTAAAAAACAGTTAAACCTCCAACATTCAAAGTTGATCAAATGCTGTTCCTCCTGCCGCCAAAAATAATGGATTAATGGAAAACTACTGATGATGACTGATTGTCCAACCAGCCAGAATTTAGTTGGATGAGAGAACACTGACCAATCACTTGACCTGAAGACTACAGCTCCAGAAAACAGTCCCCAACCAACATTATTTATTCTTATCTATGCAGCTCTTTTAGAATATTGAGCCTTTTAAAAACATCCAGTTGTGTATCTGTGGCCTGTTCTTAGAGATTGAAGAGTTGGACAGCACCAACATGGACTGTCACATTGGATTCTAATGAACAACAAAAAGAACACTTCTAGCCTTTAAAATGCATCTCGTTGCTCTTGAACATATTCTCCCAGTGGGGTTGTTGGAGTGTCAGGCTCCTCAGGGCTCAGTAGGGTTAAATATCTTCTATTTAGCTCCTACTTAAACAGCTCAGTACTTCGGCAGGCAGCGGCCACCTGGTGAGTCCGACTCGAGCCCCTCCATCTGGGAAGCGACGCAGTCACCAGGCCATCTTGCCGCCTTGTTCTAAACCATCTGTTCGGTCTGTTTCCTCTCTCTCTCTCTCTCCGTGCTGCAGTGTGCCAAAGGCAGTGATGCACTTCCTGGTCAACCATGTGAAGGACAGCCTCCAGAGCGAGCTTGTCGGCCAGCTGTATAAATCTGGCCTCCTCAATGATCTGCTGACCGAGTCGGAGGATATGGCCCAGCGGCGCAAGGAGGCTGCCGACATGCTACAGGTAACAGGCTCCCACCTGGTGGTTCTCCCTGGTGGTTTTCAAGTGCCTTTGTCAGCCATTTTAATGTGTTTTTTTTTTTTTTTCTTGTGTCTACAGGCGTTGCAGAAAGCCAGTCAAGTGATCGCTGAGATCAGGGAAACGCATCTGTGGTGAACAATAAACCTGATCCGTCATCTCCTCATCATGCCTCAAGGACCGACGCTCCGTGCACTCATCATGTCTGAAGTTTTGGATTCACAACCATGAACATGATCCATACTCCAATGTGCAGTAGGTACCATATCAGCTTACAAGCTACCTGAAAGAAATGTAAGTCAGTTGATTTGAAACGCTCGGTGTTGTTGTCTGGCGTTCATTAAAAATGCACTGCCTCTGTTTGCTAGTATTCAAGGTGAGGTTTTTAGACGCTCTAGTTGCCACCCACGGCTCCGGCAAGAATCGAGAGTGCAGCCAAAGGCAAAGTACTTTTCATTTTTTTGACAGACTGTGGTTGACCAGTATGGAAATGGACTTTTGTGTGAAGTGGGAATCAAAGTTTTTGATGACATTTTGGCAGCTCTGCAAAGCATTCTGAAAAATGTTTTGGCTTCAGGGTATGTATGAGAAAAAAAAAAATCTAAATTATTCAGCCCCGCATTTGCAACTGTTTCATTTAGGAATAGCTGTCATGTGTCAGAAAACCTCCATCACTGTCATTTTTTTTTTTTTTGCACTATTGTCACCACACTGTACTGTATAGCAAGTCCATTATCCTGACACTGTATTGCCATCAGAGTCATTATTTATTAATGTGTTATGTAAATGTGTGGATAATGTCATGAGCACTACTGCAGCAAATCATTTAATTAAGTTTACACATTGCTGCCTACATGTGAAATTTATGGTGCACTGTGGTTCTGTGTATGGTTCCCAAAAGAATGAATAAACAGAGGTATTTTATTGCCACTTAATGGGTTTGGATTCATGTGTTGGGAGAGCGGGGATTAAGAGCTGCGAGTTTCTACGACGATATAATTCAAAATCAAAACACTCAAGCAGGTTGGAATCGTGTCAGAAAAGCACAACTCTTTATTTCTGTCTGGTTGCGGCAGCTTCGACGAACACACAGCAGCGTCTTTGTTCAAGTGTGGACTCGTGTCATCGAATTCAACTCCGCCGCTCGCGTTCAGACGCCTCCTCTGAGAACTTCCGTGGATGTCTGCGTCTATCTCAGCCGGCCCTTGCCCTTGCCTCTTCCTTTGGCGCTGTGGAGTCACAGGGAGAAACAAACGGCTCAGCATGTGTGCATCAGTGAATAATGATCAACTACAGCGCTGTACAGTTTAGACTTTTTTGGACGTATGAAGTGTTTGAAGCTGAACCTGCAGGGCAGAACTTTTGGGAGTAATTACACAAACACTGTCAGCGATCATTTATGACATGCGCCTAGCCTTCGTGCTGGTTCTTTCTTTTGACTGCGAGGCCAGTTTTAAACTTTCTAAGGTGCTAAGAAGCCATCTGATGTAAATTTTGCCACAAGTACACAGACCTGTATACAGATGTCCTGGTTCGACCTTTTACGGACCACTACATAAACACTTAAGCGTCTGTAGCTGTTTATATAGTATTTCCTGCTCCACTTTGAGGACTCTGATCGGCGTCTACGTAATCCATATAAACTGTTGTATACTCAGGAAGATTTCCATGTCCTTGTTTGAGGCAGATGCGCTTCTATTCATATTAAAATAGGTACAAGTTGGTCTAACGAACACAGAAAAATAAACAGGGATTTTGTGGATGTTTCTATACAAGGTTGATGGTGATTTTGTCCTATCCACAGGATTTAGCACGAATGTACAGGTTGGGTTTTTAACACCGTGTCAATCTGGTTATTCACAAGGTGTGTCAAACACAGCACAGGGTTTCTGGAGAATTCAGAACTTCCCACTGTGTTTGGACACCATCTATTGAAAGCAAACCAAAGCATCTCTACAGTGATTACTTCAATTACAATTCTTCTTAAATTGTAAAGGTGTAGATGATGGAGGATCTCACCTGTGCTGAGCCTCCTTCTGGGAATTTAACTGATTGCTCGCACCATAAACCTACACCTGATGCTCTGTTGTTCCTCTGGTTTTTACGGACAGTATCCTACTAACACTTCCTCAAAGGCCTCATAAGTCTCTGTCACGGTGCTCTTTTATGTAAAAGGAGGCGCTCTATGCTTGCCAACAAGTGCCCTCCTCCACAGGTTACCACAGCAACAAACAGTAAGAGGTGCTCCAGCTAATCTACAAAAACTGTATCGGGTATTGGCAGATACTAAATATTAGATTGAATTGGGAGCAAAAAACCCAAAACACCTTGATTTATACGCCTACAGCAAACCTATTTTTGCTGGTTCATGTAAACAAAGCGTGTTAATGTCACCACAGAAACCAAATTTAAAACGATGCTATACTGCGAGATACCGAGATTTACCTGCATCTATTAGTAATGAACTCACTGATGGATGTTTATTTATATGTAATAGTTTTGTGCTCTAACTTCAGATAAATAAGGCATTGTGAAGTTCATGAATAAATACAAATTACGCGCTTGACAATTCTAATATAACTCCATCAACTTTTTAAACGCATTAATACCATTAAAAAGAATCACTAAATGTCTCACCACCACCGCTGCTCAGACAGTATTTAACAATTTAAATATTATACTTAAAATGTAGTTTGTAGTTATCCTCATTATTTCATAACGCCCTTCTAAATTTTGAACGCTCTGGGTTTCCCCGAGTTCAAACTATTTAATTTAGGCCTGTTTTTCTACAAACGCCTGTTTCTCATTTGACAAAAAGAAGCCAAAGTCGTTAAATGTTAACAAGCTGCTGTACAACACTGACTAAATAAAACGGTCTAAAACTGAGACGTTTCGACTGAGAACAAAGAAACAAACAGTTGAAGCCGGCTTTTGGGTAATTGAGGAGCACATATTCTTGTCTGCGTACGGACGGATTTTTCTTCAAGTGTCACATTTCATCAGTGTGTATGCAGTGCAAGTTCCACATGTGCTGTCTAAAAACGAGACGGACAGAAGAAAGAACTGCAGCAGATAAAAGCAAAGGGCAAACAGCAAGCATCATGCTATTAGAGGACAAAGCTCACAACTTCACAGCTGGGACATGATCGTTTTCTGAAGAGCAGCCCTACCTTTGATGTGTTGTCCTTTTTTGCACCTTTACCCGGAATGCCCAAATATCTGCCAGATATCCGACAAGCGGACTGTAAACACTTACCAGCTGGTTCAACAGACGTCTCACTTTCTTTCTGTCTTAAATGTTGACGTGCTAAACTCTCCAAGAACGGCCACGCTGATCGGTTTACATTGGGTAATTTGCACGCATCTGGGGCTTTGTTGTCTCACTCAAAAACGTTTCAGCGGGACGGCATGGGTGATGTGGGGATAAAGCCTGCGATTGTCTGCTTTTTGGGGGGATGATCTCTCAAACCACCACAGTTTCTTTTTATTCCTGCGGATCAGGAGCTTCGTTCAGTGTCCTGAATGTGTTTAAAGACAGCTTAGGAAGGTACTTC